CCAACTGAGCAATTTGAGAAGTATTTAGTGAAGGGATTGTTTATAGAAATGTGGGCAGAGTATGGGAAAACCACAAGAGAGAGGAAAGTATGTGCCGCTGAAAACAGGGACTATCCCATACTATCTCTAAGCCCAGAGGGTCCAGAGAAGGCGAGGCTGCCTGAACCAGGAGCTGTGTAGAGAGGGTCACCTGATGGGATCTGTGTCCTTTGATCAAGGGACACAGGCAGCCCACAAGACCCTGCATCTCTACCCTCCCTCCAGTCTCCCACTGGTGCTCTCCTGTGGACAAATCCAACGGGAAACCAGAAGGCAAAGGAACCTTTGAAATCTTCCATACAAATCAGCCTCCTGGCGCCCAAAGGAGGGCGGAGAAGGGTGGTGAGTAAATCTGGAGGGGAAAACAGAAGCCACCCCACATAGCCACCAATGGGTTATGAGAACTTAGCACACAGCCAAGTCCAAAGATTTAGTAAAGCGGGGGGTTGAGCGCCATGATTTTCAAGAGCCCTTTTGACTTTAAACACCATTTTCCTGAAATACTACAATTAGCAGTAGTAAAACAAAACAATAACGTACAGCTAAGTCACTTACCTATGACAAGAAAGGCTAGCTTACACAGTTAATACTGATAACAATTAACAACGTGGCCCCGGTCTGAATTTGGCTGCTCTGATTTTCAATTTCTCAGTCTCCCTGCCCATAACTTTATAAATCAAGGCAGGGACCCCCATGCGCCCCTCCTGAGCCAGCCTGTGCCTGAAGAGGAGCAGCATGGGTGCGGACAACCGGAAGATGACGGAGGGGGTGACAGACTGGGTGAGTGGCTTCTCAAGGTGGAGAGTAAATGGACTGCTCCCCCCACAGTGGGACCCTTGAAATCAGGGAGAGCAGGGTCCCAAGGCCTGTCTCTAACTGGACACGGACTAAGAAATGACAATTAATTGACCGAAGACCTCTGGTACAGGCATCTAAAAAGTAGTGGGGAAAAATAAAATGGCAGATGTAGGAAGAAGGAAAATTCAAGAACCTGAATTTGTTCATTCAACAAATGAACTTAGCCTGAACACTTCATCTGTGTACTAAAGAGCACTTAGCACTTGGAAACCACTCAGTACAAAGTGGCAAGTATTGTTATGTACAAAACAGGCTTGACTCAAGAGCTGTGGGAGCGAGTAAGTGAAGGAGTAAGGGCAGAGTGTGTAGGCAGGTGGCATACTGGAACTGAGTCTCAAAGGACAAGCAAGAGCCTGAGCAGCCTGGGTGATGCAACTAGAGAATTACTCTCCGACAAGACCGATCACAGATTCTGAAGCCTGTGAGTAGGCCTGATCGACGGGAGGGGCGTATAAGTGACAGAATTAAAATGAGAGGAATCAGTTCATAATGGTTCACGGGAAGGAAGAGCAACTCATTTTCTCTGGTAGTTGCTAGAGATGTGCTCTGGGTGGGAAATGTACATTGTCCTTTGCTGGACTGTGGGTCCGTCTAAAGTAACAGTCCACGTGGCACCCTTGACACCAGAAGGGAGATGGCTGTGGGTCACAGAACCACCTACACCACCCCACACATATGGTGTCCCCTTCCACGGCAAGACCAGAAGACTGGTGTCTCGAGCCAAATATGATGTAATCAGGGACAAGGACTCGGATCCCTTCATATCCGCTACATATCCTGATACTGGAATTTTGGTTTGATGCACCAGGCACAAGAAGTCAATTTGGTCTTATGGTCCCTTCTAACTCTCCACTTAAGTTTTTATCTCTTTTATAGCCCCAGTTTTCAAATAACAGATTTTTAGGAAGCTGGTAAAAGACTTTTAATTTACGAAAACAGTTTACATTTCAGAAAGATTTCCACTAAAAAGCAGTTAAAGTAAATGTCCTGGTGTTTAATAAGTTTAAACTTTCAATTTTCTAGAACTTTCATTTATATAAAACCCTTACTGTGCCAATCTTCACAGGCCAAATAACAACGGTGTGTCATGGTGATGCCTTCCATTAATTTCTACCACAGCATGGACACATTAAAGTGAAGTAAACAATTAGGAAGATAATCTGAAAAAATAAGCCTTTCTATCCAATTAAATGAAGCAACACTAATAGGTCAGAAAACAGTATCAGTGAACTTTATATTACACTAACCTTCCTTTGCTTATTGGTGGTACTAGTTTAAGAAGTTAGTGATAAAGTTACAGACGAGGGGGCACCTGGGTGGCTCAGTTAGTTAAGCATCTGACTCTTGGTTTTGGCTCAGGTCGCCATTTCAGGGTTGTGAGATCAAGCCCCACATCGGGCTCCATGCTCCGCGGGGAGTCTGCTTGAGATTCTCTCCCTCTCCCTCTGCCCCTCTACCACCCCCCGTCAAATAAATAAATCTTTTTTTAAAAAGTTACAGATGATAACATAACAATAAAAAATTATTTATTTATTTATTTATTTTTAAAGATTTTATTTATTAATTTGACAGAGAGAGATATAGCGAGAGCAGGAACACAAGCAGGGGGAGTGGGAGAGGGAGAAGCAGGCTTCCTGCGGAGCAGGGAACCCGATGTGGGACTCGATCCCAGGACCCTGGGATCATGACCTGAGCCGAAGGCAGACGCTTAACGACTGAGCCACCCAGGCGCCCACAATAAAAAATTATTTAAAAAAAAAAAGAAAAAAAAAAAAGAAAATCGTACTTCTGAATCAAACCCCAAAGTGAACCTGCAGGGATAATTGTCCAGGGAATTTAAGACTCAGCAAAAATCAGTTTGCCATTGGCCTTAAGGACAAAACAAAACACATTTATATACACAAATGTGGATTAAGTGAGCTAATAGAAATAAAGTGCTAAGAACAGTTCTTACCACATAATAAGAATATACATGTCTGGTATTGTATATAGAACTGAGGAGACTTGACTGTCAACTTTTATGTCTAATGTTAAATGTATCAGGAGCTTTTTGATTCAGGAAAGTGAATTTCTTTGAACACTGAATAAACTGAACCAAGTTGAAAGTAAAAAAAAAAAAAAAAGTTACAGATGAGTATAGTTAGTAATATATTTTCTGAGAAACTAAACACCTTTCTTAGACTTATGCTGAATCTTTTTCTAAAAAGACACATATTTGGAGATAGTCATAGACATGGTAGTATGAAAATAATAAAGCTATTTTTTGGAGTGCTCTTTAGAAACATGCTTGAATTAAGTGATGACCCGTCAGTTATTTATTACTATTTTTTAAAAGATTTTATTTATTTGAGAGTGAGAGAATGAGAGAGAGCGAGAGAGCACATGAGAGGGGGGGAGGGTCAGAGGGAGAAGCAGACTCCCTGCTGGTTCCATTAATTTCTTCCTGGGACTCGATCCCGGGACTCCAGGATCATGACCTGAGCCAAAGTCAGTTTGGTCTTATGGTCCCTTCTAACTCTGCACTTAAGTTTTTATCTCTTTTATAGCCCAAGTTTTCAAATAATAGATTTTTAGGAAGCTGGTAAAAGACTTTTAATTTACAAAAACAGTTCTCCCCACTGTACCATGCCTCGTGGGAGCCCTCCAGATCGGTGCAATGATAGAAATGTTCTCTGTGGGGAGAATCTTAGTATCTTTAAAATCATTACTGTCCCGAATGCTAGAGGGCATCACAGATGTTGAGAAGACCTTTCCGCCTCCACTACTGGGACAGCACCCTCTCTTTCTCCGTAAGTTCTTTGCTGACGATGTCCTCTCAATGGTTGACATCAGAGGAAGGAATAGCTGTAACTATTTTATGTGAACTGATTTAATTATAGGTTCCAACTTGGAAAAGGGAGGGTTTTTTTGTTTGTTCTTGAGCTGCAGAGCGGGGCGGGCATATAATAATTCCAGTTTTAAGACGTGGCTCGACTAACACTCTAAAAGTACAAGGTAAGAGATTTATGAATAGGAACTAGCCCACAGTATGCTGTTATGCAGGAACACTGAGCAAAAAAGGAGTTTACAAAGGACAGTACATTCACTGCGGGTACTGGTGTGCACTTCCACCAAGAAAAGGTCTTATTTAAATGAAATGATATGATTTCCTAAATGAAGGAGAAAGCACAACACTGAGGAAGAAGACGGGCTAAGTGTAAAAATTATGGCCATATTAGACATTCTAAAATGAAAGACAAAAGGGAAATACAGGCAGAAGCAACCCAAGTGTCCGCTGTGGACGGATGCGTAAACAGAATGTGGTGCAGACACACAGGGGAATATTACTCAGTCTTGAAAAGGAAGGAAGCTCTGACACCGTGCTACCACACAGATGAACCATGAAGACACTACGTGGAGTGAAATAAGCCAGACACAAACAGACAAGCACCGTATGATTCCACCTTCTATAAAGTGGCTATAGTAGTCACACTCACAGAGACAGGAAGGAGGATGGTGCTCACCGGGGGCTGGAGGGAGCTGGAAATGGGGGACTTATTGTTTATTGCATACAGAGTTCCAGTTTTGAAAAATGAAAAGGTCTGGAGGCTGGTTGCACGACAGTGTGAAGGGACTTGACACTGCCGAACCGTACACACTTAAAACTGATGAAGATGCTAAAATTTGTGATGTATTTTTTAGCACAATACGAAAATAATAAGGGGGCGCCTGGGTGGGTTAGTCGGCTAAGCATGTGCCTTCGGCTCAGGCAGGTCATGATCCCAGGGTCCTGGGATCGAGCCCCGTGTCGGGCTCCCTGCTCCACAGGAAGCCTGCTTCTCCCTCTCCCCCTGCCCCTCCCCTGCCCATGCACACACGCACACACGCACGTCCTCTCTCCCCCCTCAAATAAATAAAATCTTAGTAACAAAAACAGAAGGGAAAGGCACACCTTTCTTCGAAAAGCCCTCTAACTCTTAGACCACCTCCTGATCTCTTCCTCCACATTCCATGCTGACTCTACAGTCTCCCTCGGCTGCAACCAAAGTCGCTGGCTGCTCTGAACGTTTTCTAAGACTGAAATAATGGAATGCCACGGTGACAAAGCCAAATATGCAAAATACCTGGGTCAGTGGCAGAGATAATCGCTCCAAAGAAGAGACAATCTGTGTAGTAAAATTTATCCGAGAGTTGCCCCACAATCTTCATGAGCTTCACCACACCGTACATGAGGTTTCTGTAAGGAGGGAAGGTAAACTGTGTCAGAAGAGAAAACGAAAACCCTGCTCACTGAGTAGGCTGGCCAATGTGCAAGCAGCGTAGCCAGGAGGACTGTGCACTTCAAGGGTGCTCCGTGAAAACCCTGGGCAGCTGTTGTTGTTGGGCGCTTACCAGGAACACGTGCAAATAAGACTTTGGCACCAAGTAATGGTTCACAGTCAACGCCATCTTGCTGAAACAGGTGAACACTACTCCACTGCTTAAAGTCGTGCTTACTTACCACTATCAAGTATGGGCCTCGATGAGCAACAACTTTAAGGCATCTGAAGCAGCTGGGTAATGGAGGAGAAGGCAAGGGAAGGGAAAGACCGCTTCACAGTGTGTAATCGGTGGCTTGTACAAAACTGACAGGATTCTAAGGCAGTGTGTTTAAAGCTGTGGAAATGAGCGTGCGCTGGACGAGCTAGAGAGAAAAACAGATATGGGCAGGCCACGGAGGTCCAAGTGACCGACCTTCTCTGCCAAGAATTATTTCAAAAAAAAAAAGGGGGGGGAAGGAGCAAAACGCTGTAAACATCCTAGTAAAGTCTCAGTGTACCCATCGGTACAGCTGGCCTCTCATTCTCTGCAGGGGTTAAGGCAGGCCAGCAGGGGCCCTTCTCGTGCCACGCAGGGTGTGACATGGTCCAAGACAGACTCCCAAGTTAAACAGTTCCACTTGGCTGGGGCACATTTCCTACAGGAGAGCTTAGAAAATGGGAGGAGTGAGGAGTGTTAAAAGGCCTAGTACATGTCACTAAGGGTGTGTGTGTGTGTGTGTGCGTGAGCGCACGCACGTGCGCGTGTGTGTGTGGTGGCGGTAGTTGCAGGGGTTAGGGGAATAAAAATAATGACAGAACAGATTCACTGTACCCTACAGCTAACACCAATAATAATATTCTTGCCACTTAAGGACCACGCCATGGCTCACCTGCTCAACTTTGTATCCTGGGCACCGAGAACAACAGACTAAGCTAGGAGCTCAGGAACTGTTTCCAGAATGGAATCCTTTGGAGAGTACATAGCTAGAACTCAGTGGTTCCCTACTGCAGGCGGGGCACTGTTCCAGACACTTAAACAGTTCAATTTCGATTCCCAGTAACTCTGTGAGGCAGATGTGATTTACCTTTTGTTGCCTGTTTAAGGCTTCTTTGCCCTTCCTTTCAGACATTTCCTGAAACTACACCTGCTTCTCCATTGCCTTCGACCGCAAACAGACTTGGGCGTGGGGCTGCTCTCTGGCAACCTTTTCCCATCTTGCCGCCAATACTGGTCAGCTAACCTGTCACTCTTCAGTGGCTTGTCTCTCTTAAGGGACAAGTCCAAGCCCCTCCTATCTGGGCGACTCAAAAGGCCCTTGGCCTTTTATCTCCTCCAGCTTTCCAGCTCATTTTTGAAAAAGTAACTAAGGTCCGTACTTTACTCTGATTTCCTTAAGCTTTTACCTAATGTCCCTTTTCTGTTCCAGGACCCCATCCAGGATCCCACACGACACTTAGTCATCATGTCTCTTCAGTCTCCTCTTGGCTGGGACGATCTCTCCAACTTTGTGTGGTTTTGATGACCTTGGCAGTTTTGAGGAATAGCGGTGGGGTATTTTGTAGAATGTGCCTCAATTGGGACTTATCTGATCATTTTTTTTTTCCTCTTCTCAAGATTACACTGAGGTAATATGTTTTGGGGAGGGAAAGGGCCATTCTCATCACAAACATCAAGGGTGCAGAGTATCAGCGTGATTTACCACTATTGCGGCTGATCTTGATCATCTGGCTGAGGTGGTGTATGTCAGGTTTTCCCCACTGTAAAGCTACGCTTGCTTCCTCCTTTTTCCCTGGTGTCCTCTGTGGGAGGAAGTCACTAGGCACAGCCTGCAATCAAAGCGGGAGGGGACATAAGCTCCCTCTCCTGCGGGGTGGGGGTGGGGGGGTCGACATAAATTATTTGGAATTCTTCTGCACAGGAGATGGGTTACTTCTCTGCCATGTATTTATTCATCCAATCATTTATTAACATTCGTAGAGACTCAGATGTTTACTTTATAGTTTGGGTCCAGTACAATGTTATTTATTTTGTCGTTCTCTGGCCATTGGCCTTAGGGGAGCCTTCGGGTTGGCTCTGTGTCTCTTTGACACGCCCCAAGTCCTTTTGTTTGTTTTCTGGGCGCTTCCTTACTTCCTGGCACTATGATATGCTCCATTCTTATCTTGTATATTTGCTGCCCCAGCCCTAGAATCGGCTATTTCTGCAAAGTGCCCTGGTTCTTTTTACTGGAGAATGTTATCAGGAACCAAGATCTGGGGACTAGGTGTAAATTTTATTTCATTTTAATTTACCTTAATCTTAATTTAAATAGCTACACATGGCTAACAGCTATCATGCTGCACAATGTAGCCCTAGATCTTAACTGCCATCATCATAAACATCGAAATCCTGGACTCTGGTGGTTGTCAGGGAATGGGGAGATGTTGCTCAAAGCATACAAACTTCCAGTTAGAAGAGTAACAACTTTGGGGATCTGAGGTACATCATGGTGATTGTCGGTAATAATACTATATCATATACTTGAATTTTGCTAAGACGGTAGGTCTCAAACGTTCTCATCACAAGAAAGAAATGGTAACTATGTGACAGGATGAAGGCGGTAGCTAATACTAGGGTGGTAATGATTTTGCAATTTATAAATATATCAAATCAACACACTGTCCATCTGAAACTCACACAATGTAATGTGTCAATTGTATCTCAGTATAGCTGGGGAAAACACTGGACTCTGCGGGCCCCTGTGGATCTCATCTCTTTGGAAAGTTATGTTAACTTGATTAATGACAAAGAGTAACTTACCCGATAATGAAGCAGGAAACGGCAGTCCCCAAGAATGCATAAGCCAGAATAGACCCAAGATTTCTGAAAAAGTGTCTCTGAATAAAACAAGAGGCAGGAATCACATTGTGATTTCTGATATTGAGCACAAGAAACACAACAAAAGTCTCTTAAAAGTGAAACTTGACTTACAGCTTCCATTATAACAAGTAATAACTGAAGTTACTCCGGAATAAAGCTATTTAGCTATAAACATTGTGGTTTTAAAATATCCCTGGTCCTATAATCACTGAGCAAGCAAGCAAGCAAGGGCTTAGTAAATTTCAGAGAAAACTACTCTGATTATATTAAGTTACACTGAGAAAGTGTATGTGTGAGTGTAAGAGTGTGTGTCTGTGTGTGTAAGTAGACTGATCGTTTTCATAGATCTAACCCAAACTATTTTACTCTTTTACTCTAGTGATTCAGCAAGTCACTTCCAGGTCTAGTGTACCTTAGAAGATCATTATAGATAGAAGTTTGAAAATGATAAAGTATGAAAGTGCTGCCTAAGGGGCTTTCTGCTTAATTCAGTATCAGAAAACTGTGCTAAGTATCTGGCCTCATGGCATCTGAAGTGTCTCCTGATATTCTTCTGGATTAATCTTTGGAGCCTGGGAAAGATGGCCAATAGAGATGGAAGTGGAAAAATGAAAAATAGATAGTTCCATGTAAGATGGGCAAATTTATAAGTTTATATATATGTATATAAGCATATATACTTATACCAATGTAAGATCTAGCAATTATTCAGAAAGAGATGGCAAAATTGCAATCCTCTCAATGCTTCTGTACATTCACTGGTTACCTTAACACACACACACACACACACACACACACACACACGAATTTACTTCTCATAAAGTCATTAAGCCTGTGGGATATTCTGATGGGGAAAATCCCTGTTCCTGGGACACTAAGGCACGGTTCTTACTCCTCAAGGCACAGGCTGTTCTCATTGGACAATCAGAACTATTTCACAAAACCAGACAAACAAAAACCCCAAAACAACCTAATTTGATAGGGGCCGGGAATACTTTATTTAAAAATTTTAAAAGGCAAGGCACCTGAGTGGCTCAGTCGTTAAGCGTCAGTCTCCGGCTCAGGTCATGATCCCGGGGTCCTGGGATCGAGCCCCGCGTTGGGCTCCCTGCTTGGTGGGAAGCCTGCTTCTCCCTTCCCCACTCCCCCTGCTTGTGTTCCCTTTCTCGCTCTGTCAAATAAATGAATAAAATCTTAAAAAAAATTTAAAAGGCAAGAGAGTCCCAGTGTGCCAGCTGAGCGACATCAGGGAAGGACAGGGTCTAGGGAGAACTCAGCATGGATCAAGTAGCCACCAGGAAATGTGACCACACAGAGGGCTGTGGGTATCCTCTGGCCAGTATTCTAAGCAGACAATCTGAGGCCTTAGCTTCAGCCTTCCCCAGTGCTTGGCCCTCCCTGTGAAGGCTGTGAAGGAGGTTGTGAAGGGGTGAGGCTGTGAAGAAGGTGTCAAGGAATGCCTAGTGCCCCTAAGCCACCTGCTCAGAAGAGAATCCTTCAAGGGCTTGCCACACCAACAGTCACCAAATGAGGGTGCTGCCTATATATATTACGGACACGCTATGTTTGCCTTTTAAGTCAGTCACTGTCCCCAGTCTTTTTTTTTTTAAGTCAATGTATTTATCCACTTGTGTTTCAAAAAAATTAGATTTCAGGAAAAAAAAAGGAATCAACATCTATGAGCCTAATTGCCTTTTAAAAAGCTCAATCAAGGGCTTACATCAGGGAGGGTTAGGAGTCCATCAAGATAGATGTGAGGCCAAGGAAACTCACGTGAAGTATCCAGGAACAGATTTTAATCCCAGAATTGCTTTCCCTTGCCATTCGGCTCTCTTTTAGGTAAACCATCCCTATGGTTGGTTTGAATACGTTAAGTAAATTCAAATTCATATTTGCCGAAACAAAAAGTCAGGAATATAAGAGCTGCAGATTCTCCTCCTGGAAGGTTAGATCTCAGGGAATGTGGGCTGCTGAAGATCTGGTAGTGCTTGTGGGGCCCCAGGGAGGAAGGGGGTGCACGTGCTGGGTAGCCCAGCTCTGAGCTCACAGCTGCTCCAGAGCCTGCACACGACAGGCGGGTCTCAGGGTCGTGTGAGAGGGACCAGTTCGGACTAGAGCCTGGTGGAGCCTTTATTATCCCTGTGCCGTGCTTGAGGGCATCTCGATTGTAGGGCGTGCTGGATTCGGGTCCCCGGGGTGGGTGTGGGAGTGAGGGGCGATGCAGAGTGCACCCTTTGGTGCGCTCATGTGACGTCGTGGGCCGGAAGGAAGTGGGAATGAGGGAGGTCCGGGACCCACCCGGAGAGGAGAGCCCGCGTGTTAGTAGAAAGATGGGTCTGGGCTTCAGATTGCGTTTGCAGGTAGAGCTGACTCTGAGCCCTAGTCTGTGGGCCTGGGGAGAAACTAGATGTTGCGGGTGCTCGAGGGGTCCAGATGTGGGGGGATCAGGTGTGCACTACAGCTCCTGGGCTTGCCAGGGGCAGGACGGGCCGGGTCAGGAGACCTGGGCGTAGGTGCGAGGCAGGTGAGGGTGCACCTCTAGCAGGACCAGCATCACTGAGATGCCTTCTCAGCTGCACTCTGGTTGTGCAGGGGGGGCAGGGTGGCCGCAGTACACAGGCGCAAGTGTTGGCTGCACACAGAGCGTGCTGCTTCTCGCGCTCATCAGTGGCGTAGCGAGTCCCCGCGCAGAGAGCCTGGGCACAGACGCCAGACCTCCATCCCCTCCACGCGGCCACCGCGCCCGACGCGCGTCTTCGCCCAGGCCCGCCCGCATCGGGAGGAGTGGCTCGGCTCAGTGCGGACGCCTGAGAAGCCGACTCCACGCTGCCCAGTGATTCTCTCGCGGTCTCATCTGTCTCAGAGATTGTTCCAGCGCACACGTGAGGGTGTTTTCAATCACCAATTTGTTTGAAAAGGAACGAGTGAAAATATTTTAAATGGGCACAACGATAGGTGTTTGAATGATTTGTGATAATGGACTAGGGCCTTTGAAACTGTTATCTTAAATGTGTATTTCTTGATAAACAAAGATATCTTTGACCCATATAAATAAAAGCAGTTATCACACACACACACACACACACACACAAATTAGGACTATAAATCTGCCACTTCAAATACACCCATAAGATATTCTAAAATGACACACACACATACACACACAATTGGCCATCACCATTCATATTTGCTGACATGAACTGGAATTTTACACCTTGACGAGAAAGGTAGACCATGTCACTTATTTGTGTATTATTACACCAAGTGCTCGACTCTCGACTTCACAGTTTAAAAAGTACTTTCACAGAGTAGCCCATCCAATTCTCATGAAGGTGCTCTGGGGACCACTGTGCATGAGAGGCATCTAAGGCTCAAAGCTGGGGAGTGAGCCGCCCGGAGTCACGCATCTGCCAAATGGCAGCACCAGACCTGGAAAGCGGGTCTTCTGAGCGCAGGGCATTACACTCACACCAGCCACCCTTCTCGACTCCTACCACATCCTTTTAGGGAAGAAAGTACGGCACCTCCTAGTCCTAGTCCTGGCTGCTAGTGGAATCCTAGGTCTTTCATCTTCTTCTTAATTGGCCAGTCACGTGTGGTTGCCATGGCCATGACTGGTTCAGTCTCCCCTACTTTTCCCTCTCCATTCCAGGCTGGCAAAAAGAGACAAAGGAGATGGCGTGCCCTGGTAAAGGCTTCAAGAATATGAGCCTAAAACAGATCAGGATGAGAAGGTGCACCATTCTAAGACTTGCATTTCTACTCCTCCTCCCATTCCTCACTGGGGAATGTTACCATGAGATGCAGAGCCACAGAGCCAGAGAAAGAGAGAGACCGAGAGAGAGTCAGCTTGGCGGGAGAAGTGTGCAGAACATGAAGGCGCCTACAGGTGAATTCTTTCCCTGACAACAGGCCCCACAAGCAAACAGAGCCATAGCACAAAATCAAAGCTAATTCCGATGATATTTTTTCAAGTTGGGAAAAAAAAAAAAAGGCCCGTGTCCACATGACAACTATAGGTGCGTAGGTCAAAGGGTCTGAATATATCTGTTTCCATACCCGCAGTCAAGTGGTGGAATGGTTATTACACAGTTAATTGACGGCAGCTTTAATCACAGATGGCAAAACCATCTACAAACCAACTATTTCAGTGCCACCCTAAGGACTATTTAAAAAGGAAAGAGACTGAACTGATAGCAGACAGCCCGAAAGACTGGCACTGCAAAAACAACTTAAATTGCTAACTGGCAAAGCCTGTTATTTGTTTTTCTTCTGGGAAAATGAGGCTGACAGAGGGAAGGCTCTGCAGAACCTAAAGTGTTTTTCAGCCAGTAGAATGGCTTTCACAACCAGTGATTTGGTCTCATTTTAAAGCAGCTATGACCTTGATGATACATTAAGATTAGTTATTTAAGATATCAAATTAGTCATCACCCATTTGATCTGATAAGGAGTTCCCAAATTCTTCACTTAGATTGAGAATAACATTGCTTATACCCATAAAATCATCTCCTATCTGTGACGTGTCAATAGCTGACATATAGATTTAGATACTATGACAACCCCACAGAGTAGGCAGGAAAAAGATACATCTTTTGGTACAGAAAACCTAAATCCGGAGGGACAGTAGGATAGATAGGGATAGCTTTTTTTTTTTTTTCAACTTTTTATTTTGGAGTAATTATAAATTCACAGAAATTGCAAAGATAGTATAGAGGGGTCCCGTGTAACTTCACTAAGTTTCCTCCACCAGTTATACCTTATATAACCGTAGTACAAGATCAAAACCAGGAAACTGACATCGGGGCAAAGTGTGTGAATAGTTCTGTGTCATTTTATCGTATGTGTAGATTCATGGATCCACTGCTGTGATCAAGACGCAGAACTGTGCCATCACCACCAAGACCTCCTTTACAGTCACACCCCCCTCACCCCCAACATCCCTAACCCACAGCAACCACTAATTTGTTCTCCATCCCTATACTTTGGTCATGCCTAGAACGTTATATAAATGAAATCATACAGTACGTGACCTTGTTGAGGTTAGATTTTTTTTTTTTTTTACTCAGCATAATGACTTTGATGTACATCCGAATTGTTGTATCAGTTAGTTCCATTTTACTGCTGAGTAGCAGTCCACGGTATGGCTGTGTGTTTAACCGTGCACCTACAGCAAAACATTTTGGTTGTTTCCAGTTTGGGACTATCACGAATAAAATGCTATGAGCAATTATGTGAGAGCTTTTGTGTGAACGCAAGTTTTCACTTCTCTGGGAGAAGTCCTTAGGAATGAAATTGTGGGGTCATATGGTAATTTCAACTTCAGCTTTGCAAGAAACCACGAAACTGCTTTCCAGAGCGGCCACGCCAGCTTATATTCCTATCGGCGACATAGGAGCACTCCAGATTTTAAAACAGAGCTGAATCACTGAGGATGAGACAACTATAATCTCTGAGTGGGTGCAGAACACAGTAATAAGCAATGTGGGAAAAGGGAAAAACTAGAAAATTATGTAGGTACTTTAACACAGAGATCCCCATGCTTTAAGAAATACTGGCAAAAACCTCTTACCTTCTTTAGACTGTAGCCAGCGTGGAAAATAATTGGAGGCAGAAGGATGTTGAAAAAGACCTCCGGATCAAACGTTACCTGAAAGTTTAAAAAGAAAAAGGTCGGGGGGTGTGTGTCTGACTGGCTCAGTTGGTACGGCACGCGACTCTTGATCTCAGGATCATGAGTTCAGGCCCCGAGTTGGGCATGAAGCCTACTTAAAAAAAAAAAAAAAGGAGAAAAGTCAATTTCCAGTTTAATACCAGTTGGTGCTATAATATCTGCTTAATATTTTCAGCCACTGACTAAAGTTTGAATATTCGAAGCAAATAAGATAAATGTGAAAAATCGTGGACTCGTCACAAGAGAGATGCCACAGTTCCCCCTGTGGACGGCCATGTTCTTCTCCATACAGCACTCTGACTCCTGCTCTTGGTGTGTTGTTTAATATATATTAAGAAATAACAGTTCAGGGGTGCCTGGGTGGCTCAGTTGGTTAAGTGTCTGCCTTCAGCTCAGTCATGATCGAGCTCCACGTCGCACTCCCTGCTTGGCAGGGAGCCTGCTTCTCCCTCTCCCACTCCCTCTGCTTGTGTTCTCTATCAAATAAATAAATAAATAAAATCTTAAAATAAAAAAGAAATTACAGTTCAGTGCAATTTTGAGGACTCACAGAAAGCTTCCGGCCGACATTTTTTACATGAGAAATAAAAACATCTTGATTTTTATCAAGCCTTTATAAAGGTTCAACTGCAATAAAAGATGCTGTCACAATTCTTTATTAATTTTCTGGATCCTCCCACAGAACCACTTATTGACACTGTTCTACTGAATTTAAGTCTCTTTTGAGTGACCAGCCTTTTGTGAGACCTGATGTGGCCTGGATCAGTGTCGCCAACGATGCTAGCAGCTTTCTCAACATCAACGTGAAAATTCGGCGGCTCTAGGGGGACTGAAATTACTTTGTAGGCTCGATACCCAGAAATCACTCTGAAACTATTAAGGAGCAAAATCTTATCACATCCAGAAAAGAATTAAGAAGTCTATACACATCCCAAACTTTTTAAAGAATTTGTTCATGTTGGTAGATTGACTGGCTCTTACTGAAATTAATTTTAAAGCTTCACTCTAATTATTAAAAGTCAACTTAGGGGGCGCCTGGGTGGCTCAGCCGGTTAAGTGTCCAACTCTTGATTTCAGCTCAGGTCATGATCTCAGGGGTCATGAGATGGAACCCTGTGTGGGGGGGGACTTAAGATGCTCTCTCTCCCTTTCCCTCTGCCCCTCCCCCCACCACTCTCGGTCTCTTACAAGAAAAAAAAGTCAAGTTAGCATTTCTCTTTAGAAATTGGAAATGTTAACCAGCCTAATTAAAAGTGAAATGGTTCTGGGGCGCCTGGGTGGCTCAGTCGTTAAGCGTCTGCCTTTGGCTCAGGTCATGGTCCTGGGGTCCTGGGATCGAGCCCCGCATCAGGCTCCTGTTCAGCGGAAAGCCTGCTTTCTCCCTCTCCCACTCCCCCTGCTTGTGTTTCCTCTCTCTCTGTGTGTCTCTCTGTCAAATAAATAAATAAATAAATAAATCTTTAAAAAAAAAGTGAAATGGTTCTTGCAAATTACATTTTATTCGATCTTCTTGCTGAAGACAGGAGTAGTGTGAAAAACAGGGAACGTCAGAATGAGAAGGGGCTTTGGACAATACTCAGTATGAGGACGCTGGGGCCACAGTCACGTGGGAACCAGCACGAGAGTTTCCTGCCACCTACTCCAACCCTGTGCATCAAGCTGCCTCAGCACATCTCTTCGCCTCTTAGCTAACAACAATGATCTCAGCCTTGTCTGCTCTCCCACCTTTGCTTCGTGCAGCAAAGTTTAAACAGAAGGGATGTGAATCAACCTTTTCCTAAAGGTAGTAGGAGCGAAAGTCAGCATCACCTTCTATTATGATCTAAAAGATGGAAATGGGTTGGGTTCTTTTCCCTTTTCTCCCCCGTCCTATCCAGTACAGACTCAAGCTGCCATTTCAAAACAGCCCTGAACATGGTGATTGCGCTGAATATCTTTCTCGGTTGCATTTAATTTCACAAATGTTTATGGAAATCCCAGGCATTCTTATGAGGGGTTGAAAGAGAAGAGTTCACTAGGACTGCCTTTAAGGACACAGAGAAGATGGGCATTATGCTCCTGGTTGAGAATAATTTTCCTTAAGGATTAGGGTAGATCCTAAAAACAGTAAGAATTTAATTTGCAGAGCACAGGCTACACCCTGCCTTTGACCGCAAGCCTTCACACGCATTAGCCTTGTTCTATGTGAAAAGAGACTCCCCACAACCTGGATTGCCCAGAGCTTAGACAGAAGCCTCCCTGCTGATAAGCCTGGGTCTACAGAATAAGAGACTATAAGTGGATAAATACAGATCTCTTGCTTCTTTTGGAAATCACCCGAGTGAAGAGATACATGATCCCTTGGTCGTGTATTTTAGCTACCCCCAATGTCAAATGAAAAACAGTTATTGGACTCAAATCCTAAGACAACAAGGTATTTCCCCTCCAAAGATTCATTAAGCCTTTGGCATCACTCACCAATGAGAATGGGCGCTAAGTAAGTATCTGTAGAATACAGCAAAAGAACCAGGAAGAACTAAGACTTACAATCGGGAACACTGAATAAATGAAACCGATCTGTTTTTAAGATTTTTATTTATTTATTTGAGAGAGCAGGAGTGGGGGGAGAGGCAGAGGGAGAGGGAGAAGCAGACACCCCGCGGAGCAGGGAGCCCGACTCAGGGCTCGATCCCAGGACCCCGGGATCACGACCTGAGCCAAAGGCAGACGCTTAACCGACTGAGCCACCCAGGTGCCCAAAGTGAAACCAATCTTACTTTTTTTTTAAAGATTTTATTTATTTATTTGAGAGAGAGAATGAGATAGAGAGAGAGAGCAGGAGAGGGGGGAGGGTCCGAGGGAGAAGCAGACTCCCTGCTGAGCAGGGAGCCCGATGTGGGACTCGATCCCAGGACTCCAGGATCATGACCTGAGCCGAAGGCAGTCGCTTAACCAACTGAGCCACCCAGGCGCCTGAAACCAATCTTATTTTAAGAAAGAAACAACCCCATCCTTAAACCCTAACAAGAGACATTGTAAGGAAGACATGGGCATGGATAGACAGGCTGGATGGTGACGTACAAACCACGGCACAACATGGCGGCCCACGTCAGCTCCTGATCCTAACAAAGCTGACAGGCTCAAGTTCACATCTGGTTCTTTCTTCTCCTCATCATAGCCCCAAAGCTTCCTAGCAAAACTGGGAGCCAGGAAGGTACCCATGCTCCAGGAGTTTGCAAGGATTTCTCTCCGCAAGGCCAAGATGGAATCAGGAAGTCAAAAATCATGTCAGGACCCCAATGGCTGAGTGTTCCCCAGCTCACCTTCCTCAGCATGTCATTCTGCTCTACACTGTTGATCTTGCCAGGGCTGATTTCTCCTTTCAGGGTGTATTCAAAGAACTTCCCGCTGACATTCACTAATAAGGTGCTGAAGGCCCTGTCTTCCTGAGTACAGCTGAGTGACTTGTCATGACCGCTGGTGGCAGGGGTGCCGTACCTCAGGATCACCCCAACGATGAGCCCTGAAACAGAGTGTGGGGGGGAGAACAAACCATCAGGCCTGCAGAAGGACAGAAAGAGCACGGACATAATGACACAGTGGATTTGCAACAACTAAGAAACGCAGAAGTAATCTTAGAGCCCAGGCACTAAGTGTGTATTTTAGGAGCAGCTGCATGGTCCTTCTAAAGGGTTAACCTCCTCCAGCACGAGTCCCTCATCCACCAGGAGGATGCGGTAGGACAGTACCTTTCCTGGGTATCATGGCACTGAGTATCTTTCCCAAGTGATCGTGTCTCGTTTCTCAGGCTTCTGATGGAGGAAGATGGAATAAGAAGCAAAGTCGTTTCTGCCAAGGACAGCACAAAGCAGAACTGCTGAGCTTTGATCTGTACCAGCAACAGCCCTCAGGCCAGTCCTGTGGCCATCTGCCAGCAAGGACCAGGCCACAGGAATTTCTAGCTCCTAAAAATGCAACTTGCTTTTTGCCACACACCCGAGGAAGGGGGCGGGGAAAGAAAGAAAAGAAATGCTTTTGTTTAGGTCATTGCAAGTACTGGGTATCATGGAGGAAGTAATTAGATCCCTCCGGGAGCTAAACACCACAGTGCAAATGTGTATGATCATGGTTCCAGGACTACAGAGCTGTCTTCTTAGGGCCGTGGCTACGATACAGCTAAAATAATTAGCTGCGAGTCTTTAGGTCTCATTCCAGTCTCAGGTGGGGTTTCCCATTAGGGAAAAAAAAAAAAAAAACTCAGCAAAACTGTGGATAAGCGTGTGATTCCACAGCGAAGGAGTGTTGCTCCCTTGGTCCTGGACAGAAGGCCCATACGCTACAGTAAAAGTGAGTGATATGTGAAGAAAACATAAATCGCCACAAGACACCTTCTACAGTTCTGAGGACGAAGATTTCTGACTTCTCTCTATAGTCAGTTCTTTGCTAGCGGTATTAAAAGACAGAATGCTAAAAATGCTCCCCATCTCATTTTGCCATTAATGGAGCAAGTTCCATGAGAAAAAGAAAGTTCTACGTTTACTATATTCTGTGCATAATGTTCTATAATGTCTCTTATCACCAAGACATATGAGAACTCAAGACATTGTTGAAGAACAATATGTGAAATCTAGAAAAATACACGTTTTTTAAAAGATTTTATTTATTTATTTATTTATTTATTTATTTATTTATCAGAGAGAGAGAGAGAGAGAGAGGGAGAGAGTACAAGCAGGGGGAGTGGCAGGCAGAGGGAGAGGGAGAATCAGACTCCCCACTGAGCAGGGAGCCCGATGCGGGGCTCGGTCCCAGGACCCCGGGATCATGACCTGAGCCGAAGGCAGATGCTTAACCAACTGAGCCACCCAGGTGCCCCTAGAAAAATACAGTTCTGTAAGCCAAACTGTGTGTCTGTACTGCATTATTATTATTATTATTAAAGATCTGTATTAACAGATACTTGCACCTGGTTGACTTTTGTGGAAAATAAATTATAAAAGTTTATTACAAATTAAAAACGAGGTTCTTAATAATCTCAAGCAGATATAAAACAGTTTTAAAACCTTTAAAGGTTGGGGCACCTGGGTGGCTCAGTTGTTAAGCGACTGCCTTCACTCAGCTCATGATCCCGGAGTCCTGGGATCGAGCCCCACGTCGGGCTCCCTGCTCCGCGGGAAGCCTGCTTCTCCCTCTCCCATTCCCCCTGCTTGTGTTCCCTCTCTCGCTGTGTCTGTGTCAAATAAATAAATAAAATCTTTAAAATAAATAAATAAAACCTTTAAAGGTGTAGAAGAAAAAGCCAGCCGTTAAAGAAAAACATGTTGATCATTACAAAAAAAAAAAAAAAGATATTGTCTTTAGGGAAAAAACAATAAAAACCCCATAATGCAGATCATTCGGGTCATCAGGTTAAGGGGCAAGCACGTGAGGTCTTCGGCACCGATCTTTTGTTCAGGTCTTATTTGCTGGCATTTCATATTCATTTCTTCTTGTTGGGTGACTAACCGGGATGATGTCAGAGATGGTAAGCTAGCACTTAGTCTCTCCCTGCTCAGCCTCGGAACGGACCTCCCAGCTGCGGCCTCTCGGCCATCTTGCAGGTCAGGGTTTCCTGGGTGTCTGTGCTGGTAACTGAAGTTGGGGAGGTCCCTACACTGAGGTGGCTGCTGATCGTGGGTCCCTTCTCCTTGATTTTCCTGCTCCTCTTCATGAGAATCGCAAGTTTCTAACCTTGATGGACAGTCTGTCTCCCTGGTCTACCTTGTTCTCCTGTACCCTGGTTGTCAGTGCCCTTCGCCCTTCTCCCTACACAGGAGGCTTGGAAGACTCTGGTCAACACTCGTAGGGTCTCTGTATGGAGTAAGGTGTGTGCTGCTGGGCCTGGCGCCCTCTTTCTTTCCCCACCGTTCTCCACAACAGTTGCTGCCTCTGCACCCTTTCCTCCGTCAGGAGCATCGAACCACACAGTTTCTCCACCCTCTGCGCTGGGAAGGTGCTTCCTGGGGGTTCTTCCTTATGGCAGTCTAGTGGACAAGTATATATAGCTTGGTGTCATTCCTGTGGATGAAACCAGATTTGTTTCTGACACTGAACCATTTTACTGTTCTTTACACTTTTGTCACGATGACCTTCTTGTCCCTGCTGGTGGGTCACCACTCCCTCCACCCTGCCCACGGAGCCACGTTGGGTGGTGGCAGGGCTGAGGAGGGGTGGCAGGAGGCTGCTGGGCCCCAGCCCTGCTGCTCAGGGTCACAGTGCTGGGGATGGTGACCAGGGCTTGCTGTGGCAGCCACAGCTCCTCCCTGGGCAGGATGGTGATGAGGTCACCAGAGTGGGGTTCTGCTCAAGGTTCTCTGGGGTTGCTCTCCACTCCGGATGGAGCTCATGTTGGTTTTTATTATTATTATTATTATTATTATTATTATTATTATTATTATTTCTTCTTCACTCCCTGGTCAGGCAGTTATTTTCTGATCAAGTTTTACATGACAAGAGATGATTCCATAGCCCTTCAACACTTATCATAATGCAGGATGACCTGCAGAGTCTGAAGGCTACCTGCCACACGATTTCACTTTAATGTCTTCATCAGGAAATCAAAGCAAATCATTTACAGAAGACTATCCTCCTCCCAAATCAATAGCTGCTTCCCAGAACTCATGGTTTCTTTACGGTATTATGGTATTACCTCATTGTTACTGGAGGTAACTAGAAGGTAAATCATGCTAGCACAGGGTCTTCATGATGACTACTACTCTAATGAAAGATGAGGCATGATACTGTCATTTAGAATAGGAAATATATTTGGTCTTTGTCCCAATTGGGACACCTGATACAGAGCTCCTAAAACCCTTGGAATCGGGGAGTGCCACGTGTCTTTTTGTATGCTAATAAGATGACTGGTGGTTGGAGGCTCCTGCATTATCCACAGGATGGGAGCTGGTTGCCAAGGGAACGAACTTTATGATTACAGAGTTGAAAAATTAAACCCCGCCCCAAAACTCCAGGTAGGGGAGAGGGGCAAGAGGTAGAGTTAATCACTAATGGCCAATGAGTTAATTAACCATGCCTAAGTAATGGAGTCTCCATAAAAATCCCCAAAGTATGGGGGCTCAGAGAGCTTCTGGGTTGGTGAACATGTGGAGGTGTGGGGAGGGTAGTGCACCCAGAGAGGGCACGGAAGCTCTACACTCCTTCCTTCATACTTTGCCCTATGTATCTCTTTCATCTGGCTGTTCCTGAATTATATCCTTTTATAATAAACCCGGAATAAAATAAGTAAACTATTTTCCTGAGTTCTTTGAACCATTCTACAAATGACCGAACCTGAGGAGGGCGTCATGGGAACCTCTGATGTGTAGTTGTTCGGCCAGAAGTGCAGGTGACCACCTGGGACTTGTGATTGACATCTGAAGTTTGGGGGGGGGTCTTGTGGGACTGAGCCCTTACCCTGTGGGAGCTGATGCCATCTGCAGGTAGTGTCAGAATTGAGTTGAATCACAGGACAACCAGTCACTACCCATCAGAGAGCTGGAGAACTGCTTGGCATGGGAAAATCCCCACACATCTGGTTACAGAAGTGTTGGCTGTGAGTATTGTATAAAGGGGAAAGAGGAAATTTTTCCTTATAGGAGTTTTATATTTGCAGACAAATTCCTCAATTACAGGAAATGCCCTCGTATTCTCCTCTCTCCAGTAACCATCACCATCATACTAGAAGTGCTATTAACTGATGAATATTGTTTTTATATACTGACAAAATGTTTCCCTCCCTACCTGGGCCCAATGCACCCATTTTAAAGATGGGAGACAGTGAAGGCGATGCTGCTGCCCCCTTGTGGGAAATTGTGGCAACATAAAACACCACAGCAAAGACACAAGGTCAACACCATCCTGATAGTTTTGACCAAAATGATACCAAGCAACAGATACACTGCTAACTCAAGGCAGATTTTGAGTTACTCCTCAAGCATCTTAGATTCATATTTATTATCACTGTAGTTCATGGCACAAAGAAACAGAGTCATCGCTATGATATTAAGTTCCTGTTTACTGTCTTCCACTTCAAGAAAGAGTAAGATATTAGGACTGTGGAGGTGCATTTTGGTAAGAAAAGGATAAAGGTGTACAAAAATCATAAACAGCATATTTTCATCTGTTGATCTGGAAGACATCCTCTGACAGGGAACTGTAAAAAGGTCCTAACTACAAGGAATTAAAACAAAACATTAAGTTTCTTTAAAAGCTCAAAAGAGTCAGTATCCAAGCAAAACAATGATGGAGATCAACAAAGGCATTGAAGATTTTACGGATCAACATCATAGCGTTCTCGATTACAAAGAGAAATAACCTATTACGTATGTGGGCCAGAAACATAGCACATAAGATGTCAGCTGCTGAAGAAAAAGAATCACTGATTTCACACATATCTGACTAATATCAGGGAAGAATGTAGTTTCAAAATCTTACAGAAAGCAAAGATGGATGAAATTCCTTTGACATCTGACAGGGCTTAAGATGGTGAAC